AATAACTAAAAAATCGTAAAGTACAACATTAACACCATAGAATTCCACTATAATTTATAAAGCTTAATAACTAAGCTTTATTTGGGTCTAAAAAAATATGAAATTTCGAGTAAACTAAAGACACACCCTACTTCATTGAAACATTGGTTCAAAAGAAAGAAATGGCACCAAGTCTGTTAAAATGGCTGAGAAAGCTGCTTGGGGGACATTCTGAGCTTCCAATTGGTTATTCATGTCATATCTAGAAGTGAATATAAGGGAGCGTTTCCAAAAATGGAAAGAATTGGGCAGGGTATCACTGTGTTTGATTTATTACATGAGTAATATCTTAGCAAACTGAAAATATAAGAGGCTCTTATTTTATATTCTAGCTTGTCAATATCAGTATTTTGAATTTCTAATTCGTTTGAAACTACAAATTTAAATTACAGACTTAGTATTGTGACTTCACAAACATCTAATCTGAACCAGTGCTGCATTCAACCTACCACGTGACGCACAAAAATCGATGTTTATCTGTGTTTTTAATATTTGCTTTTAAATTAAGAAAGTACTAAAATTTGAATTATAATCTACAGTTTGATACCAAACTTACTGATATAAATTCATGAAATAGTAGTTCAATAAAATTTTGAATCCGAGTCAACAAACGAGATGACATGGCCTTTCACCCGTGACCCATCATGAAAGGGTTAATAGAATACCTATACACAATAACAGTACAAAAAAAGAGATAATCAGATGTGTTGCTATGTGCTTAAAACGATTCAGGGCCCAGGCCCATAGGCATGGAAATATTCAGTATTTCAGTATATTGATCATGGTTTTCTATTCTGGGGATTTAGGGCACAAGCCCCATGTACCTAGCAATGCCTCTGGAGATTATTTTACACACTTTGATAAAAAGTAAGCATAGGGACTACCTTTATCATAATCAACTTTTTCTGCATGAAGAAAAGTATATAATAACCACACATATACATGAAATGAATCTATAATATCATTATTATTCCAGACTAGAGATGGGTGATTAGTGGTATTCACTAAACAATTAAATGACAGTTCCATTAAGTGATTAGTAAAGTGTTCCTCAAACTAAAAAAACACTGTTGGCAGGTGCTATCAGCTAACTGCCATCCCTCTAATCAGCAGTTCAAAAAGAAAAAGAAGAGTATTAGACAGGTGCTGCCAACCAGTTGCCTTCTCTCTAGTTAGCAATTCAGAAAGAAAAAAAAAAATGGTGGCAAGTGCTGCCAGCCAGTTGTCTTCCCACTAGTCAGTAGTTCAACAAGAAAAAAAAATGTTGGTCATGGGTACTGCCAGCCAGTTGCCTTCCTCTAATCATCAGTTCAAAAAGAAAAAGGTTGGCAGCAGGTGCTGACAGCAAGTTGCTTTTCTACTAGTCAGCATTTAAAAATCAGTGACAGTGGCAGATAGCATTAGTAGCTTTGTGATAACAAATATAGCATAAGCAAGTTTGGTGGCAATATTTTGAATACTTGGATAGTTGGAATAATCAAAAATAGCAATCATCTGAAACTTTTAATTTTGATTAGTTTATCATTTTTGTGACAATTGGTTTATTGAAATTTCAATTCATTGACTGTTGCAATAACATAAAACAGTAACAACCAGAAACAGTTTTGACTAGTTAATTATATTCATGGCAACTGATATAATTAGAATTTTGATTTATTGTTAGAATAATCTAAAATACTAATACTTGGAAACACTAATTCCAATAAAAAAAATTAATCATAACTTAATTTATTAATTACTTTTTGTTACACTGATGTAATTTATGTTAATAGGTAATCGATTAAATTGCAAAGCTCTTGTAGTTTTGCAAAAATTTGCAGAGAGAAACCTAAGGAATGGTATTAATGATATTTTCAGCTTATCATAGTTTTAGTATTGCATTGTGTATATGATATATTTTCATGTACAACAGTTTAGGATTAAAAGTATCTTAAGCTTCAATTGTTGTGTCTGAAGGTGTCTATCATATTAAACAAAGATAGTGAAAAAAACCACAGTAAACAAAACAAATTGTCAGATATGTCTGACAGTTTGTTCTGTTTACTGTGGCTTTTTTCAGTAATTGTTACACATGATATTGTGTTATTCTATTATTAAACAAAAATAGTTCAAAAATGTGTTTAAGAAACTCAAAAGTTGGAAAGAGGAATATTAGTCTCATTAATATAGATCAAGTTGCCAACTTAAGACTAAAATTCAACTAAAATTTTACTAAAATTCAACCTGGTATTGGTAATGATCATAGCTAATCAAATATATTTTTCTTACATTATTATTTTTTGAAGATTAGAATGGACTATTTCATTAGTTTCATGTGAAAATATTTAATTACTTGAATGTAATAAATTAATGAGCCCAACGTTTAATAAGTTAGCAATTCCTACTAATCATCCATCTCTTATTAGCATTTATGCAGAAAAACTGATTTTATTTTTATCTAACCATACTCAAATATATCACAGAAAATCTATCACAAATATTTGATATAGGGCTTAAAATCAGACTATACATACAGGCTAAAATGATTTATTATGTCATTTTATTAGAGCTTAGCAATTTGTGAAATTTGTTAATTGCTTAATCGTTGGGCTCATTAATCAATGACATTTAAATAATCAAAAATTCTCACAGTTGGAATAATCAAAACTAGTAACAATTGGAAACACTAATTTTGATTAGACAGTTATTTTCATAACATTAATTTCAAGTTATCAATTATTTTACCTGGTACTAATCAATGTATTCAATGCTCATAGGTAATCAATTATATCGATTAACCGAGTTGATAGTTCTACATTTTATATTATATTGAGATAAAGGTCATAACAGCTTTACATTAAAGCTAGGTACATATTATGTTAGTACTAAACCACTACTATATTACTATCACACAGAAACATAGTAATTCAAATAAGTTGAACAAGTATCTTGCATCTTATATTTTCATGAATGATGTTCCATTGAAAGAGAGAGATCAAAACAACTAAGCAATCTCAAGCCTATAGTTATGTTTGATTCATAACTAAAATAATGATCAGTAACTTATAATTTATAACTATATTTTCTCTTTTTAACCATTTCTTATACATGTTCTCATATTCCATTACTTGATAATTTTGAGTTAGAGAACAATACTGCCTTACAAGTGCAGGTGAAGCATGCTTCATTGGTATAGGTCGCTCAGCAGATCTCACTGTTGGAGCACCATGAGTGACAAGGACTGGCCCTGGCCCCACCGGTTGAGGAATTACAGTTGAGGTTAGTGGAGATACTGGTTGAGGTGCAGGAGATAGTCCAGTTGATCCTTGAGGTAGAGGTGAAGCCATGGGATAAGAAGCTGGTCCTAGAACTACAGATGTAATCCCAGGCCCCAGCTGAGGTGGTGCAGCTGGATATGGTTGATTCATGCATGAAGCCATCCTTTCATTCATGATCAAAGCTAAAAAAAGAAAAGATTTAAAAGTGAAATAATAGTTAAAATAGTTTACATTATGAATAGGGCAAAATATGAACAATAATTCCTCTATAACCAGTACAAAAAAGTATTTATTTTCTAGTATGTAAATTCCAATTTCTTCTTGACACAATTACTTCTTATAAAAAACAAACTAAAATAATAATGCATTAAATTTTTTTGTAACTTTACTCTTAATGATTATTATAGAAATTTTAATTTACAAAATTCACATATTGTATGCTTAAAAGATGACAAAAACATTTGCTGATTTACTGGTGAGGTAACTGGATAACAGTTTACCATTAAATGATGTAATGTCCAGTAATATTTTTGTATAAAACTACTATAAATTTTCATTACAAACTTTTTGTATTAATTGCAGCATAAACTGACACACACACACACACACACACAAATATACTTTACCATTTTTTCATTAAGAGTGTTAAATATTTACTGTCACTGAAAGTTTTATATAATAGGTATCCTGTTTATTGATGACAGGCTAATCTGTCTTAAGCCTAATATACAAACACATGACTTAATTATGCAGTTATAAATTAAAATGTCCAATTATTTAGTTTCATACTTATATTTTATCTAAGTGATTATTTTTATGCTGGGATTAAAATATCTTTTATTGCATTGTTTACTTTTCCCAAGGTGATTGCTGTATGGTTGTTTTGATTTTTCATATATGTAGATTGGATAACTTACCCATATATTTTACATATTTGTATATTATGAATTAAGTCATATTTTCAATATGTCAGGAATATCAGTCTATCACATATGTAGACTGGTTACCCTGCCCATATATTTTACATCTGGGTCATATATATGCTGTGGTATATTAATTAGTTTGAGTTTTGTAATACTACAGATGAAATTATTGCAATGGATATGTATATCATTTCAAAGTGTAATAATGTAGTCAGTACTCAGTTGAGTCCAATCCTCATGCCTGCTGACCAGGGGTTAGTGGTAATACACCAAACAACACAATTAAACCTCTGTATATGTACACACACACACACACACACACATATATATATATATATATATTGTTCATAAAAATAAGTCTATCACAGTCTACAAATGAATACTGCTTTATTTAAAAAAAGCAATTAGAAAAATTTAGGCCCATAATTCATTTCAGTAGGGGGTGGAAAAAAGTTGCCATTATATTTTATGATCACTTTATTCATCAGACTAGTTGAAAAATCTTATTAACAAATTCATCCTCCAGTAAAATGAAGTTAGTTATTTCTTTATACTGATTATTAGGTTATCAAAGTCCTGTATGAAGTGGTTTTATATAGTAGCTCTAAGAATTGATGTCTTTAAAGTGGTTATGTAAAGATACTAAAATTATGAGTTTAATTTTATGAATCATGCTATACATTTATATTAAGCTCTGATAAGGTTGTTATTCCTGATAATTACACTATAATTCATTACTTTGATGTTAACATTTTCCTTAACTGAAAATGTATTTCCAACAGATACTTACCCCCTCTCACAAAAAACCTTTTCTAAATTTCACTGCCCTCTATCGGTGCAAGTTTTCACTTGCCACCAGCCTCACATATGTTAATATGAGATATGTGCATACTAACATGCAGCAACCCTCCACCAATAGGAGTGCAACACTACCCCTATTCTATCTAGCTCTCTCTCCAACCTTGCAGCCCATAATCACCTCGAGATCATGGAGATCAAAGGAAACTACACCAGAAGTGGGGAGGATGGGTGGGAAATGCGAGAATAGGTAAGTATCTATGGGAAATACATTTTGAGCTTAGGAAAATGTTAACTTTTGATACGATGTTTTACCTCTTGTTCACAAAAAGATAGAATCACACACTGAACAGGTGGAGGACTGGTGAGAAGATGATCCCCCTTTAGGAAGCACTCAAAGGAAAACCAAGGGGGTGTGAGAATAAAGTAAAAACAATATACCTATGGGAGACCTCACTACTTCTGAGCCAGCTATACTCTTCACCCATTAGGAATGTATCGCCAAGAAGGTGGAAACAAAGGAGGGACCTGAATCAAGTTATAGAAATTAAGAGACCTCTTGATGTAGAATGGCTAGGGCATGACAGACCATAAATAGGAGTTCTACCTCATCCAACACCAGGTGGCATCTGGAATTTTACATCAGGTTCACAGTAGGAAGAAGGTCTTCTACCTTTCACCTTGGATATGGAAACTGGCAGGGAAGCAGATCTCCTTGCAAAGGATTTACATCATCATGTAGGCATATCCAACCCACCCATGTCCATATCCTCAGGAATGCAACATCTGAAGGACTATAGGAAGGTGGACAGCATGTGGGGGGTACAAATTTGATTTCAATACTCGACAGTATCCAGAATTGTGCATCAGGTCCATGGTAGGAAGAGGATACCTGGCCACACACATTTCAGGACTTATGTGGCTGGTCTAGCTCCAACCATCACCATATCCACTGGGAACTGACAGCTAGGGGATGGGAGGAAGGAGGGTGCCCAGCTGAAGGGGCAAACTGCTAAAAATAGAAATTGTGGAGGAATCTGGAATTGAACATCATTCTACACTGGAAGAATGCCCCTGCTCTACTCTCAACTGACTGGAATTGATCACATTCAGGAGGAAAGGCCTCCAAGGTCCACCACCCCAGTGGCTATGAACTGGTAAGTGGCAAGGACTACTGCATTCCACTAGAAGAAGATGGGAAAGTGTGTGTTGGAGAGTCCCGAGGAAAGCAGAAATAAAGACAGTGCAATGGGTGACCTCGATACCTTATTCTGAAAAGCAGAGGGTCAAGTTGGTGGAGTGCATTTTCTATAACCAAGCAGCATCTGGAATTGTGCATCAGGTCCATGGTAAGATGAGTGTCAAATGCCATGGATCCTCAGAGATGGGCAGTAATCCATGACTGCTTTACTAGTGTTAATCTAGGAGTGTACGGTCCAGGACAAACATTTTTATGAAGCAAAAGACCACAAGGCATACCTATTAACAGTCCTGCAGAATACCCCATCTTCACAATGGGCATAACTTGACACAGATCATACAGTGTAGATTTAAGAGTAAGTATACCTGGTTAGGCAACACTAGCCATTGAGCAGGATCCAAATATACAACAAAGGCTCCCTGCAAAGAAAAGCAAATTAATGGAGCACTTACCCACTCAATGAGAAATTGTGGAGTGCAAAGTGGCAACAGAAGGAATCTTAAAACCTGCAGAGTAGTAAATGACTAAGTGGTGAAGATAATCCCATAAATGTATGTGGAATAGTCCACGTACCAGCACTAATGATATACTCCAATGGATGACAGAAATGTGCAGCAAGGGACATGGTAATGTGATGGATTTGATTGGAAGAAACACCAAAAAGACAACAATCTTTAGGAGAAAGAGAAGAATAAGCCAGTCATATCAACTGTTGAATTCAACCCATAAGGGTAATTGGAGAATGATCACAGGAGAGGTTTGGATTCCAAGGAATAAATAAACAGGAGAGCAGCCAAAGTTTTGGGCAGAAAGGAATGATCAGGAAAAAGGATAACATAGGAAATATGACACAAAATGCAGCAAACATCAAGCATGAACCCATGGGAACAATGATGTCCACATGCCAATATAAGCAGGAAAAAGTCTTCAACAAGAGGTGATTTGACAAATATGAAGACAAAGGTTCAAATGGAGGGCAGGTAAAAGCATGCAGGACAACACTGAAATTCCAAAAAGAGAGAGAGCCAAGGGAGGAGGGGAGAGGGGGAAGGAATGAAACAACAGGGACAAGACTGGCGACATGAACATATCTTGGAAAATGAAATGTGGCAGACAAATCTGCCTAATAGCCTGCAACAGAGGATACTGAAAGGCCCCTGTCAAAAAGTCAAGTAAAAAAGGAAGTTATATGGAGAATGGTAGGATGGGAAGAAGGATAACCATGATATAATGACCAACAGAGGTATATGTACCACTTTCTTTGTTAAACTGCCAAGGAGGAAGGATGAGCAGGACAGGAAATCAAGTTGCAAAAGTCTGTCCCTTCTGGCCAAGGGGAACTGTCGAATGATGCACACCACCTTGGGGCTTACGAAGGAGTGTGGGGGATAAAGGAAGACACCAGGAGATGGCTCAACAATGGAAATCACATTTGACCCAGCCAACATAGAGCTACCAACAGAACCGGATAAGGAATGGACTGAATGATGGAAAGGACCAGTGGTATCAGACAGATGGGATGATAAGCATACACATATAGACCCATCCAGTCCTGACCAAGAGCATTTACTGCCCCAACCAAAGGATGTGGAACAGGAGACCAAAACCTAGAAAGTTGTACATTGGCAAAAGCATCCAAATCCGGAACATTCCACTGAGCACATAGTTCCTGAAAAAGATTTGGGTCCAGAGACAACTCTGCAAGAAGAATCTTGTTCGGACGTGATAAACAGTCCGCGATGAGATTCAGGGCATCCAGAATATGACAAGTAAACAAATGGATTTGATGGTTGTGAGCCCAAAATAGGAGATCCAGCATTCGAAAACAGAAGTCTCTCGACTGAGTGTCCCTTTGCCTGGAGTTGTAAGAATGCCCCATCACCAACTAACCCCAAAGAGCCGGAACATCTATTAATGTTACTTAAGTTTAGTTAGGCAAGCATGAAGTATATTTGTGAAACATTCAGTGGTAGAATGCTCATTCTATTCCTTGTAATGTTTTAATTACAAGTGCTGCTAAAAGTGGGTTAAATCTACACGATATCAAAATGAAGCAACAAGCATTATGACTCAAATGTATTAGTACTTATTTAAATAATGACAAGCCTTTATTGGGTAAATTATTAATGAAACATTACTTAATTTTATATGGTGATTTAAATTTAGATTGTATTGTTTTTAAATGTCATATTCAACCAAAATATACGAAAAATCTTCCATTGTTTTATAGGGAGTTATTACTAGATGGGTTAGTAATTGGTAATTCGGATTCCATATTACCAGAGTTTGCAGGAATTGTGGAAGAACCATTATTTTTAAATCCCCCACATAAAAACAGTTGATGGTAATTACTTTTATAGTAAATTTTTGATTAAGACTGGAATTACTTGTATTAAATATTTGTGTTAGAGGAATGCTGGGTTTTTTCCAATCTTCTATAATAATCAATTGTTTATTGGAAAATTTACCTATCTTGATAGCATTAACAATTAATAGCTTTGAACAATATTTTGAGGCATTGTGGAGTGCTAAACCTGAATGTTGGAGAGATGCGATAGAGAATTCTTCATATTCAGTGGAACATGGTTAGGGCATCTTACAACACAAAATTTATGTCCATCTTAATAATAAACTATTTGATGTCTCTAGTATCTCTGTTAAATTTATTTATAAATTCCTTCAAAATCAACTGAGTAATAATATATTGAAAATTGGTTGTGATCCCCTATTCAACTCTGTTAAGAGTTCCACAGTTGCATTATATGTGGCAGAATTTATATTCAATAAAACATAATGGCTGATTGAGATTATCTGATACTATATACATCTTTTATGACTAATACAAAACTGAAAAATATGGATTTAATTGATGATGACATCTGTTGTCTTTGTGGTACATTTAGTGAACAACTGAACCCCTTTATTTTGAATGAGAAGATACAACACTTCTTTGAAATTATGTTAGGAAGTTTGAATTTCTTACAAAGAGTTCTGTTTGTTTTGCACAGTTTAATTTAACCTTAGTTTATAGGTGTTTTAATATCGAAAGATCTGTACAACCGATTATGTTTTAAGATATGTCATTGGTCAAATATGTTTTATTCACATCCAGAAAATTAACTAGAAATGGTAAATCTAAGCTTAATTTGCTAACCTATTATACTTTTATAGAGCCAAACTTAAGAATAAAATTTATTTTGATTGGTTCAAATGTAAGTTTAAGGACAAATTACAGACGTTTATTCAATGGTATGTTGAGGTTAGTGTGGCTGAATTACAGGGAAACAATCTTCACATTGAATTACCTTAATTCAAATATAGGCTGTTCATGGTACTACTATTACTAGTGTTAGTATTAATTAGTGTTATGGTTCTGTAAATTGTAATACTAATATTAAAACGTTGCCTGTTTGTGGTGTTTTGTGCATATTTGGTTTATATTGGAAGAGTGTAATTAAAAAAATGCTTGCCTGGCACACGGGCAGTCCGGCCAATGCATTGTTTTTATATCATATAATTTATATGTTGTAATAATAACAATACGTATTTCTCTATACATTACCTATCACCTAACGACTGTATTGTATATAATATTATTAACATGAACTGAATGTCATAATAATTTTGTTCCTTTCTCTTAAATTCCGGTTATAATTATGTTTTTTTCGACAGAATATTCCACCAATACACAGTATTTGAATTGTCTTTCAGTTTTACTATTTGTATATAACCTAAGACTTACCTTAATCATTTAATTAAAGCTAATAGATGACCGCTCTATTATAGGATATCAATGCGCCACTATAGATATCCCTTACCACACTAGAGTAGATGCAACACTGATGCAACGAAAACTAGGAACGAGGGCGCTATCTGTATTTTGCTTGTCTACAAAAATAATTTTATGTTACTTTTCACATATGAGGTTTTGATTAGTCGTAAAATACGATCTTCTCTTATATTTTGAATTATCTAATTTCTGTTTTATATTAAATTTACTATAAATTTTATTATTATTATGCAAGGTAAACTTATTATTCACAAATGCCAATGTAAATAAGGTAGTGTAAATCCAATCTTCAGTTACAACATTTATTAATGAGTTGGCGCTTTACATAAATTATTTTAAAATGACGAACAGAAGAAAAGCAAAGAAAACTTAAGAATTAATGTCTTCTTACATAATGCGTATTACAAATCACTTTCTGTTTTTACCAAATTCTGAATTTCTTATTAGTCTCAATACATATAACCTTTTTTTCTATCTTGTATGGGCCCGGCATGGCCAGGTGGTTGAGGCGCTCGACTCGCCATCTGAGGGTCGCAGGCAGGTTCGAATCCTCGTCACACCAAATATGCTCGCTCTTTCAGCCATGGGGCGTTATAATGTGACGGTCAATCCCACTATTCGTTGGTAAAAGAGTAGCCCAAGAGTTGGCGGTGGGTGGTGATGACTAGCTACTTTCCCTCTAGTCTTACACTGCTAAATTAGGGACGGCTAGCGCAGATACCCCTTGTGTAGCTTTGCGCGAAATTCAAAACAAACAAACTATCTTGTATGTTTTTCTTTTTTCATACTCATTGTTTTAATGTTTATATATTCTCTGTCTCTCTTTAGTATTGTATTTTTTATTTTATTTTTTAATTATTATCATTATTATTTTTACATTCTTTCAGTAAAAAACAATGAGGAAAAAATATTTTGGACTATTGAACTATCTTAGGCTATAATTTGTATTGGACTATTTCTACATTTAATTTGTACCCTTCCATTACCCCTAAATTAATTTGACTTTTTTCTAATGTTGTTCCCTGTAGTGAGAGAATTTTTATGGGATATATTGTTTACTTCCTTATGTCAAGAGAAACATATAGTTAACCCTATGGGCGACAAATATATCAAACTTAAAGAATAAGTCAAACAATCGCCAAGTTTGTTTTTTATATTTGAATAGATGACGTTTCGAGCTAGCTCTCTTCGTCAGACCGTGCAGCTTGCAACAGCTCAAAGACTTGTTGGCTAAATATGGCCATGTATTTATGGGACCTGATGAACAATTGGGTGAAACAATGGTGACTCGTCACAATATACATATTCACAATTCATGTCCAACAATAAAGCAACTGCCATGTGAGCTTCCCTGGAGCTCTAGAAATGTCGCCAACACTGAAATACAATAGATATTGAAGGATGGGTTCATAAACCTTTAGAAAGTACTTGATAATCTCAAACAGTTATTATTAGGGATAAGGAACGTATGCCAAGGTTGAGATTAGATGAATACATATAATAACTCACATTAACACCTTTCCTCTACTGCAGACATACGAATTTCTGGATGTTTTGGAACATTCCCTTTGGTTAAACACTTTGAACAATAATAACAATTGATATTGATATTTTTTTTACAAGTTAATTGGTTATTAGTATCATTTTTATAAATTAATTTGGCTGACGTATTTCCAAGGCGACTTTTAACATTTCCAAGTAGGATTATCAAAATACAATACGTTATTGTATGTATATACAATGAAATAAGTTACATACAATAGTGACATAAAGAAGTAAAAATTAAAGAATAGGTTAAACAATCGCTAAGTTGGTCTTATATTTTTATTTGAAGAGGATGATGTTTGTTTATCAGATCGCACAGCAGCTTGTTGTAGAACAATGGAGATCTTGCAATACAATTTATAGGAACCGTGAAAGTAATCAGAGCAGGAGAGCGTTGTTTTCGTCGTATGGTGTGTGACGAGATAGGTGATGAGAGTGTGTTAAATTTAGGAGACCATATGACATACAACGTGGTGTTGACAGCCACTAGTACATGGTAATGTCATTGGTGGTCTCAGTACTCAGTACTGTAAAGGTAAACAAAAATTGCACTCAAATAGTCCGAGGAAAGAAATAACTAAAACTACAGTAGGATTCCAAAGTTTTGTATACAATCTGGTGAATATCTGCTAATATGCATATTCGCTAATATTAAAAGATTGGCACACCAAATGCTTAAAAACTATTCAAAATTCTTGACAAATCCAACGTAGTTGTCATGCCATGGGACCTGTCATTCTTAATTTTCTCTCTGACACAACTTCCTATAAGCCTTTGACACTATATGAACTTTCAGGAGTTTCTGTGCAACGGTGTTGCTGTATTAGATCCTTGAAAATTTGGAAGAAAAAACACAATCCGAACATTAACAATAGGGTTCCAGTTCTTTAGGGATTTGGCACACTAATAATATATATATTCTATATTTAATTTTTTCAAATTTAGTAATATAACCAAAAAAAATTTTTTTTTCTTAGATTTTTTTTTCAATTGCTTAAAAACTATTCAATATTCTTGACAAATCCAATATGGTTGTCATGCCATGTGACCTGTCATCTTTAATTTTCTCTCTGACACAACTTCCTATAAGCCTTTGACACTATAAGAACTTTCAAGAGTTTCTGTGCAACGGTGTTACTGTATTAGATCCTTGAAAATTTGGAAGAAAAAAAACAACCATTCGAACAGTAACAATCTACCTTGATCTACCTCTAAGACCCTCACTAAAGACGAGAAAAAAACAACAAAAAACAAGTCAGATAAACCAGTATCCTAATATGCTGAAGAAAATGTTGATGCTTTTGTATTTACATTGGCATTGGCAATGGTGTTTTTCATATATGTTTATTTTATAGAAGAAACAAGGTTTGGTAATTTAGGTGTTTATCATAGGACAAATCTACCATAAGTAATTAATTTTTATTTACTATTTAAATCAAAATGAAAAACAACATCATTTAGCTAGAGATGTAACCTCTTATGTTATTTTATAATGAAAAGTTTTAAAGCTTGTAACTAGAAAATTACTATTAGAATAAAATAAACCTTTGATCTACCTCTAAGACCCTCACTAAAGATGAGAAAAACAAAAAGAAACAAGTCAGATAAACCAGTATTGAAGTATGCTGAAGAAAATGTTGATGCTTTTGTATTTACATAGGCATTGGCGTTTTTCATATAGGTTTATTTTATAGAAGAAAGAAGGTTTAGTAATTTAGGTGTTTTACATGTAAACTTACTCTTTTGGGAAAAGGTAGGAAAAATTAATGTTTTGAAAACGTTACTCCAGTTTTATGTTCTTCATCATTCTAATGCTTTGTTGTATCAACTTACAGAGACCAGAAATATATGAAATTGGTACGATTCGTAAGTTTTCGAACTGCATTTTTATTTGGTTTTTAATAGTATATTTGAAAGGTGTATGTGTTTGTTTCTTATGAATTTCGCGCAAAGCTACACGAGGGAAGGCAGGTAGTCATCACCTTCCACCGCCTACTCTTGGGCTACTCTTTTACCAATGAATAGTGAGATTGACCGTCACATTATAACGCCCCCCACGGCTGAAGGGGCGACCATGTTTTGTGTGACGAGGATTCGAATCCGCGACTCGCAGATTGCGAATCGAGCGCCCTAACCACTTGGCCATGACGGCCTATGTGACGAGGAAAGAGATCGAACAAAATACACAATAAGGAAAATAATCGTTTAATTACCACAGGTAAAAAAAATAAAATAAAAGGCGATTTAAGTAAGACGAATAAAACTACATGTTAAAATAAATACCAGCTATCTGAAAATCAAATAAAAAAGGTAACGCTTAAGAACAACTATACGGTTCGGCTGGAGAGCAAAGGAAATGTTAAGTTGATTCTTATATTATATAAAAGATCTTTCCCTTTGATCTTCCTCTAACACCCTCACTAAAGACGAGAAAAAACAACAAAAAACAAGTCAGATAAAGCAGTATCGTCAATGTCATAATCAGTTTATCTAGTTACAGACTGTTCTCTTTCCTTAAATGACAAGAAGGCATTATCTACTGTTTTCACTAATATCTGGCTTATCTGTGAGATTACTGTGGCAGTCTAAATGGGCACCTACTACAGAGGCTACATTTCTAGGGCGTAATATTATTAATGGATTTCCTGGTTTCTCAACTACGTATAATAATGCTCCTTTCGCTTTACCTAAAATTTATGGAAAGCAATAGTTTATAGGATAAATCTACCACAAGTAGATAACAGTGTATTAGTAACAACATATATGTTTTTAATTATGCTCTCTAATGTCTGACTAATATTATTGTAAGTTATATATTTCCCAAGCGAGTTTTATGTAATCTGAGTTAATTTAAATAATCTTTATATTAGAGTTCTCCGATTCCCATATTTTCGCTATTATTCTTTTAAGCAGCATCACACAGTGTACTTAATATTATCCTTGTTACACGGTACGTGTATAAAATGCAACGGCCCATCCAACTAGCAATGAATAATGAGCCAGATTTTCACAAATCTAGCCTAAATAATGAACTACACAGTATGTTTGACATTAGGCCTGTTACACTGTACGTATGTAAAATGTTATGGCTCATGTACCTAAGAATAAATAATGAGCCAGAATTTCGATAGTTGTAGCCAACTAATGAGTATTTTCAGTTCCAGAAACCTAAAATGTGCAACATGTGTATCAAGAATGAAGTTTAAAAAATAAGCTGCTTAACCTTTTGTTCAACTAGTATACTATCATTGGACTATTTTTTCATGTTGCCTTGAAAAAATAAATAACAATTTACAAAATACGCCATTGAATGAGAATTAACTCACAGATTTTTTGTTGTTGACCTTCGATAATTTGGATTGTATTTATTTACATTATAAAACTAAATATGTATTAAAGACCAATAGTATTGAACTTTAATGCATAGATGGCGCTAAATTCCAAAAAGCTTATTTTAGCCTGTGGTGAGGAAAAGATAAGAGATATGACATG